TCATGACTGCCTCGTTGAGTCTCCGCGCTCTGATTGGCCCAGACGATTTTAGGCCTCACTTCCATCCCTCCACTACGTTTCTTTCAACTGACTTCTGTATAGCTATGCTTCTCTCTCCTCTCATTAAACTGACACCTTTTTTTTCATTTTCGGTAGATTGTGTGGGCGTAATCTGCCTGTGAGGCCGTGCTGTCGCTCTGTTTGTGCATTCATTCAGTGTGGCAATTATCTGCACTGCGTCGGGGTAGGGGTGACTACCTGCTCGTGATTTTTTTGTGTGGAGTCGATCTCAACCTCAATCACTCCTATCGTTGTCTACAGGCAAGGCTAGTTCAAAATGCATGAAGGCGGACTCTAAGGCACGGACTGACGTTGAGGTGTACCACAACACTGTTAATTCCCTTCTTGTCATAGAATCAGGCTTCACAATCTGCTTCTGCACTTAACGCAGTTTCGTAGAGTCATCTGTGGCAACTGAGGGGCCTGCGGGACTGACAGTTGATTAGTGCTTAGGAGAGAGTGTGTGGGTCCAACACAGAAATCTGCCCCCACAGCCCATCACCAATTTATCACTGTAGTAAGTCTGACGCGCCAACATTCGCCATTTGGAAATCTGCCATTTGGCAATATAAATCGGTCCTTCTGAATAGCTCCTGAATGCGACCTATATGGCGAGCGCATTTAGCCGAAATTCGAGTCACCCTCGTGAACGTCTAGTACATTCTGTGTGGCTGATTTCGTGTCTGGCGCGCGTGGATAGGCTGCCAGCCATTACGCTCACACTTGCCTCCGGTCCTTAGATACTGAGGTTGCCATTGTTAGGAGCCGTCCTATCAGACGTGCTCGCATGTAGCCCGGGCGAGATGCTCTCACGCCACGCTATTATTCCGCCCACAAAGATCCGCACGCGCGTGTGGCCTTCAAGGGGCTGGCAGCAAGCAAGGCTACGGGATGGGGGTATCGATTAATCAGATTGCCGATTGAGCCGCTACTAGTTCGAGGACACCATCTGATTGCGCCGATCGGATAACACTTGCTTGCTTAAATATCCGCACTAGGTACGCATTAAAGACTTCGTTTTTTAGCGCCCTTGTTTACCTGTTCTCCTTCGGGGATTGAAACAAAGCGTCTGGGTCGGCAGAAATCTTAGCTTTGGGCAACATTACAAAAGTCATTCCTGGCATGAACTTCCCATGTTCGGATGCTGACACAAATTATACTCGAAAGTTAGAAACCAGCTACCTATTAATTCTCTATGTTTCCGTTTAATCGAGAATGTCAGCGTGCAAAATCCATATCTTGCATTCGTTTGGTAGGAAATCAAGTCTTCTACAGGGAAACTCCATTCTGCCTTAGAAGTGTGAGCCTTTTCCTGGCGCTTACATGGCTATTTGTGTTGTCCAATGCCAGTAGGCTTACTATACTACTAATTTTTACCTCTTTGGTATGGCCGTTATCCGTCGCAGTGTTTCGTTGTTAACAGGAGACCTCTTCAGGGATGCGTTATTAAGTACAAGACTTTGTTTTTGAGATGCGCATAGCATGTACTTTAAAACGCATGAGAGCACGTGAGAATGCAGATTATGCTTAAATGTACACAACAATTAGCAACATATCCTGATGCTGAGATAGCATCCTGTTTCAAGTAAGAAATGTAAACAAACAAATTTTCCGTAAAAAGGGGCAAAGAAATGAAAGAAAGGAGCGTTTGTTTCAGCCATTTGCGACTATCTTTACACAGGTATGCAACAGGGACTGAACGGTTCACTACCTATTTAGCGACTCATTCACTAGCGCGAGTTTCATAAATTGCTACAAAGTCGTCGAATCAATGGCTTTCATGTAATGCTTGTATTTTACACCAAAAAGAATTGAGGTTTCGCATAGGCAATTTTTTTTCCATCACAACACTTTAAAAAATTTGATTCGGGGTTTGATAAGTCTTGGTGTGAATTCTGGTCAATCTGCAGTATCTGCTTTACCTCATGAAATGTTAACAGGGGTTCTGAAACGTTCTGTCGATTAAAATAGCTTACTTTTGAGGGATTATCATGCAGCATAATACGGGTAGATTTTCAGTCAAAGCACGATGTCGGTTTTTCCATGGGCTTGTTTAATTATTGCTTGAGTAGCATGCATTTGCTGTCTTGATTTTGATACAGTTATAAAATATAGTCTATAGGAAAGGTGCATGAAACATGTTTTCTGTTCTCGCTTTGTAGTTCATAACATCTTCTTCAATTTGTACTTCAAGACATTTGAGGAAAAGTTCGATTTGGACATAGTTGTTAATTATACGATTTATAAGACAAAGAAATATCCATTAACACAGCATCGTATTTTTCCGTTTATTGAAGCTGCTTGTGAACTATACGGCATGGTTTACATCGATTGTGAATTTTATGTGTCATATCACACCTCACTAGCGTAGAGAAATGTAGAATCATGTTTACACTATAAGCAGACGGCATGCAGTTCAAAGCCCCTCAGTGCAAGTGCATCCGCAGATTGGGCTCCAAATTATCCGTAGATTGAAAAAAAGCGAAATAGAAACCGCTTTCTTCATGTGTTAGGTGAAAACGGCATCAAAAATCAGTGCAAAAATGTCTACTACCTAAGCGGTCCCCTTTACTGAATGTAGTTTTTGTAAGCAGTCAGAAAAAAGCTCATTCAGAAGCTGGCATCCCGCCGTGACTACAATTCAGTAGATTGAATTGTATTCTGTCACTTTGGTGTGCTTTTGCAATCAAAGAACGGGGCCTAGAAGTAACGAAGTATACTGAAAACTGCTCCGGTATACATTAAAAAGTACTTTCTTTTATTCTAAGCAGAAGATGTATCCCTAATTTTCAGGGAAGTCAAAAAACTGGTCAGAATTTCCCATTTGATCTGGACTTAATCTTCAAAGAAGGTAAAATAAACATATATCCGACGCCGTAGTATCAATAGGTAACATGTTATCGGAAGTTTTTAATTTCAGGCGTATTTATTTGCGACTTTTGTTGTAGACGTTCATTTTTCTTTGCAATGAGTTGATATGTTTGGGTGATTCTAAAACCATGACCCAAACAGACAGCTGCATAAGAACGAATGTTTAAAAACTCACTATTTATGTTTATGCTTTTAAGAAATATATTTTTTGAAGTTTTCGATCAAAAGATATTTAAAAAAAATCAGTATATAGGGACTAGTGAATAAATACACTGAATTTCGTAAACAGTTAAGCAGAATTTCAAGCAAAATCTGAAGCTCACCGCATTCGAAATCTCGAAATAATTAGGAAGGACATGATGAAAGGAAATTTCTCTCAATATACACAAGATGGTATGAATTTGGTTACAAGTGCAACCGTACTCTGAACTTTTAGTAAACAGCCAGTCTCTCCATGTGTGGCCTTCAATCTCTTTTAGGTCCTGCCAACAGCCCGGCTCTGATTCCTATAGAAAATCACTTTGCAATTATCAGAGGAAATTTGCACAGGGCTAAAAGGAACTTTTTAATTCAAAAATTGCTTTGTACCGAATAAACACATTAAACAAACGTCTATAGCGAACTGGCCGATGTGTATGTCTGACAGGTTTAATGCTGGTCTAAGTGTTAATGGACAATCTGAAGGAAGATGAAATGGCGAACATACGTTTGTTTTCGATAATTCTCATCAGGCCT